GAGATGGCGGCGGTACCGGCGGCCGAGAGGCCCAAGACCTCCCCGAAATCCGTCAAGTTTCTTTTCGGCGGCCTGGCCGGGTGAGAGCCTCCCCCCCCATATCCCCCAAATTCGGGATAGCGCACTCCCAAACCGAGAACCCCCCCTGCCAGAGCCTTCAGAGCGCCCACAAAGCAACCCCGGTGCCCCTCCTAACCCCTCAGCCCCCCTAGACCCTTTAACTTCCCATCACTGCTCCCCAGAGCCTCCCCCAATCCCTTCTGTGCCCCTCGAGTGCTCTCCAAACCCCCTTCAGACCCCCTCGATCCTCCCCCAAATCTCTTCTGTGCCCCTCCTAACCCCTCACCGCCCCCCAAAGCCTTTAACGTCCCATCACTGCCCCCCAGAGCCTCCCCGAAATCTCTTCTGTGCCCCTCCTAACCCTTTAAGCCCCCTCCCAGACCCTTTAACTTCCCATAATTTTCCCCCGGAGCCTCTCCAAAATTCCTCCTGTGCCCCTCAAGTCCTCCCCAGACCCCCTTCAGACTGACCCAACCCTCCCATCACTAATCAACCCTCCTCCAAAATCCGAAATTCCATCCAGCTCCCTTCAAATCCCCGCCATAGATCCCAAAACTTCTTCAGGCTTTCTCGTCCCCCCAGGTTTCCCCCGAGAGGACTGTGGGTGGGTTTTGGGGGCTGTGAGTAATTTTTGGGGCCCTACTTGACCCTCTTTTCCTTCAGGATGGGGGCCACGGTGTTCGTGCAGCCCCTGGACCTGGTGAAGAACCGGATGCAGCTGAGCGGGGCTGGGGCCAAGGGCCGGGAGTACCGGACATCCCTGCACGCCCTGGGTTCCATTCTGCGCCACGAGGGGCTGAGGGGCATCTACACCGGGTATGGGCCCCCCCAGAACACCCCTGAACCCCCAGACCCCCTGGGAGGCACTCCCATGCTACAGGGGGTTGCTGATCACCTCCATGGGATACAGCCCCCCCCCCAAAACCCCAAGCACCTGCCAGCCTCGAGCTCTTTCCTGCCCCCCTCTCCTGCCATTCCCCGTGTCCCCCCCAGGCTGTCGGCAGGGCTGCTACGCCAGGCCACCTACACCACCACCCGCCTGGGCATCTACAGCGTCCTCCTGGAGCGTTTTGGGGGGGCTGACGGGACCCCCCCTCCCTTCCTGGCCAAAGCAGCCATGGGCATGACCGCGGGGGCTGCGGGGGCTTTCGTGGGGACCCCGGCTGAGGTGGCGCTCATCCGCATGACAGCTGATGGCAGGTAAGCCCCCAGCCCTCCTGAACATACCTGCAGCCCCTTGAGTCTGCTTTTTTGACCAAAATCGCCTTTTTTTGCCCCAAATACCAGGCTACCCCCCGGCGAGCGCCGTGGGTACCACAATGTGTTCGACGCCCTTGTGAGGATGGCGAGGGAGGAGGGGGTGTTCACCCTGTGGAGAGTAAGTGGGGGCTGTGGAACCCCTGCCACGACCCCTCTGCTGCCTCCCCGGGGATGCTGGGGGTGTCCCCGTGCTCTAGGGACGGGCATTGGGGTCCCCCAAAGTGCCATGTGCCACCCCAGGGCTGTGTCCCCACTGTGCTGAGGGGCTCTGTGGACTCATGTGGGGGGTCTGGGGGTGCACAGCTTACCCAAACACTCCATTTTCCCCTAGGGCTGTGTCCCCACTGTGGTGAGGGGGCAGATAATGGTCTGTGGGGGGATGTGGGGAGTCTGGGGGCACTGCTTACCCACACATCCTTTTCCCCCAGGGCTGCATCCCCACCATGGCCCGTGCCGTGGTGGTCAACGCCGCCCAGCTCGCCTCCTACTCCCAATCCAAACAATTCTTGCTGGACTCCGGTGAGTTCAGGGGGAGGGTCTGGCTGTGGGGGAATCCTAAATCCCAGTGCACTCTCCTCCCCTCCCCACTGTTCCCCTTTGATGTTTTGGGGTGCCCCCAGGGCATTTCCGTGACGACATCCTGTGCCACTTCTGCGCCAGCATGATCAGCGGGCTGGTGACCACGGCTGCCTCCATGCCCGTGGACATCGTCAAGACCCGGTGGGTGCATTGCTGGGGGGGTCCCCTTCTCCCCATTAGATAACCACAGGTCGGACACCCCAAACACCTCCTGCTTAACCCCCAAATTCTGCCCGACAGGATCCAGAACATGAGGACAATAGATGGGAAACCCGAGTACCGCAACGGGCTGGTGAGTGAGGGTGACATCATTTGGGACCCCCCTTTAATTTAGGGGGGAGCTTCTTTAGGCCCCCTTTAATTTGGGAGGGGGCTCCTCTACCATTTTGGGAATTCCCTTTCACAACTGGGGGGGGTTCCACACCATTTTGGGAGTGTTTTCTCTGTAATTGGAGGTGGGAGAAATTCAGGCCATTTTGAGGAGATGCCCATAATTTTGGGGAGCTTCCCTGGCATTTTGGGAAGCTTCCCGATTATTTTCTAGGGGGAATCCCTGGCATTTTTGGAACGTTTCTCATAATTTTGGGAGGATTCCCCATAATTTTGGCACTGTCCATGTTATTCCAAGGAAGTTTCCCATCCTTCCTATGGAAGGGCATCCCTGGATTATTTTTTTAGGGGGCTCCCCTATGATTTTGGGGGGGCTCCCCTGACACTCTGCCCCTCCTGCAGGACGTGCTGCTGAAGGTGGTGCGCTACGAGGGCTTCTTCAGCCTCTGGAAGGGCTTCACCCCCTACTACGCCCGCCTGGGCCCCCATACCGTGCTCACCTTCATCTTCCTCGAGCAGATGAACAAGTGGTACCAGCGGCTCTTCCTCACTGCCTGACACCCCCGGGGGGGGGGTCGGGGGGCATCTGACCCCATCCCGTGGGCTCTCCAGGGGCACTTGACCCCCACTGAAGGGTTTTGGGGGTGTCTGACTTCTCCCTCAGGTGCTGTGGGGGTGCTTGACCCCCCCCCCACACACCACCAGGGGCTGGGGGGGAGGTGGTTCTGCAGGAGCTGCCTGACCACCCCCATATCAAGGCCATGAAGTGGTCCTGGGGCCCTATGGAGGCGTCTTGGGCCCTGTAGGGGTGCAGGACCCACTCCTTAGGGCTTGTAGGGATCCCTGGGGCCCTGTGAAGGGGCCCTGGACCTGATGCAGGGGTGCTGGATCCCTCCCATGGGGACACCAGGGGATGCCTGGTCCCTGTGGGGCAGCCCTCTCTAAGGACTGCAGGTGCCCTCCCCCTGTGCTCCCCTTCCCACCCCTCTGGGGGTTTTGTTACCAGCCAATATCAAGGTCACAGTGTGGGGCAGGAGCCCCCCAAAATTTCCCCCCTCCCTCCCCATCTACCCTGTGCTTCGTTAACGAATCATGGATCGTGATCATGTAATTAAAGCAAGACCCACAAACACCAGGGGGTGATTTATCTCTGCCAGGGACAGGCTGACAGCAGGGGACCCCAAAGGCACACCCCAGCACCATCCAGCAGAGCTGTTTATTGTGTCCCCACACCAAACTGGGGGGTCCTGGGGGAGCTCACCCTCACACAGCGGGGCCACCGTCACCCCAGGGCAGGTCTGATCCAGCCAGGACTGTCCGTTCCACCCCCTCCTCTGTGATGGCTGCCAGCCTGATGACACCCCCGCTGGAGCCATCCCTCACCATTGCCAGGGCCAGGCCTGGGGGAACACAGGTCAGCATCCCCCAAACCGCCTCTGCTCCCAAATCCCCTCAGCACTGCCCCCAAATCCCCTTCCAGGGTCCCCCAAGCCCTCCATATCCCCAAAATCCCCTCCACGTCCCTGAAATCCCCTCCCAGGACAAGCCCAAACCCCTAAGTGTCAGCCAAACTCTCCTCTGTGCCCCCAAATGCTCTTCCAGGGTCCCCAAAATCCCCTCCATGTCCCCAACATCTCCTCCCAGGACACCCCTTAGTGCCAGCCAAACTCTTCTCTGTGCCCCCAAATCCTCTTCCAGGGTCCCCCAAACCCTCCATGTCCCTGAAATCTCCTCCTAGGACATGCCCAAACCCCTCAGTGCCCGCAAATCCCCTTTCAGGGTCCCCCAAACCCTCCATGTCCCCAAAATCCCCTCCCAGGACAAGCCCAAATCCCTCAATGCCAGCCAAACTCCTCTGTGCCCCCAAATCCCCTTCCAGGACCCCAGCCCCCTCTCATGACCCTTCCCCATATCCAAATTCCCCAAAACCCACCACGAGCGACGAATTCCTGGCACTGGGAGCGGCTCATGCCAGGCTGGAACGTGGCATCCAGGAATCCATAGATGTAGGAGCTGCCTGAGCCCCCCACGGCGAAGGGCTGGCGCAGAAGGAGACCTCCCATGGGCACCACGTACACCTGGGGGGCACAGGGGGGGCTCTAATGTGCTGTGGGGCAAAGGAAGGGTCTGTGGGGCAGAAAGGAGGGGGGGCTGTAGGGAGAACTGAGGGTTATGGGGCAGAAAGAGAAAACACGGGGTTATGGGGCAGAAGGGGGGGGCTGTGGGGAGAACAGGGGGTTATGGGGCAAAAAGGGGGGCCTACAAGGTGGAAAAAAAATTACATTCCAGGGCAGAAAGGGGAATGCTGCAGGGCAGAAAAGGGGCTGTGCCAAGGCAGAGAAGGGAATGCTGCAGGGCAGAAAAGGGGCTGTGCCAAGGCAGAGAAGGGAATGCTGCAGGGCAGAAAAGGGGACATGCTGGGGCAGAAAAGGCAGCCCACCTGTCCACCCCGGCGCGGGTCCCAGCCTGCCACGATGATGCCAGCGCTCAGCTCCTCACGGTAGCGGTAGCAGCTCTGCTGGAAGAGGCGTGCGGCCGTGCGCACCCGCGGTGGCTCCTCCAGCTCCACGCTGCGGGGCAGGGCCAGGTGTGGGGCTGGGGCCACCTCCCCCAGGCCCCCCGGCCCTGCCCCGCACCCCGGGACCCGCGGGGGTACCTGTGGAAGGCCAGCTGGTAGGCCACGGCGTCGGCCACCGCCTGCGTGTCGGCCGCCGAGCCCGAGCGGCAGCAGAAGATGCGGTCGTGGACAGGCGTCAGTTTGTCCGTCACACGGTTGGCAATGTAGGCCCTGGGGACACGGGGGTGGTGTCACTGGGAGAGCTACTGGAGGCAGCACCACAGTGACAGGCCCTGGGGACACGGTGGTGGTGCCATCAGGAGAGCCGCCCAGCTGCTGGAGGTGGCACCACAGCGACAGGCCCAGGAGAGCCACCCAAGGTGGCATCACAGTGACACCCTGACAACAGTGACAGCCCCATGATGTGGTCCCAGAGCCTCGTGACGTCACTGATTGCATCACAGCACTCACCCGGTTGTGGTTCTGGAGTCGGCCCCTATCACGACACCTCCATCGAACTCCACGGCCATGATGGTGGTCTGGGAAGAAGGGAGGGGAGGGAAGGGGCTGCACTGAGACCCCCAGCCTCACAGAAACCCCCTGCCCCACAGAAGATCCAGCCCCACCGCACAGAAACCAACCCGTACCCCACAGAAATCGTCTTCCCTAAGAACTCTCGGCCCCACAGCAGTTCTCCCCTCCCCAGAGGAACCCCCCTGTGCCCCCCTCTCTGACCCAAATTCCCCTTTCCGCACTCCTCAGGGAGCTCTGCTCCCCCAGCCCCAATTCCCACAGGAAGCACCCCGTGCCCCCCTCTCCAGGGAGTTCTCTCTGCTCCCACATTACCCTTCCCGCACTCCTCGGGGCGCTCTGCTCCCCCAGCCCCAATTCCCCCCTGAGCCGCACGCCGGAGACACTCTGCCCCATTCATTTGCATAGGCCATTTACCCCTTATATGGTCAAAGGGGTGGAGCAAAGTATTATGGGCGGGGCCTGAGGTGGTCTAGGGGATCTTTAAGCATCGGATTAGCATAAGGGGCGTGGCTTGTGAGACTTTGACCTGGTTATTAGCATAAAGGGCAGGGCACAGACATGCAGAGTGTATAATTAGCATAAGGGGAGGGGTTTGGGGATATAAAGTGATTTTAGCATAAGAGGCGTGACTAAATAGTGATTAATTAGCATAAGGGGCATGGCTTTGTAGTCTGACAGTCACTATTAGCATAAGGGGAGGGGCCAAGCAGCTTCAAGGTTGGGTTATTAGCATAAGGGGTGGGCTATCTGAATATTATAATGAGTTATTAGCATAAAGGATGGTGTAAAAGGAATTTTAAACTATTATTAACATAAAAGGCGGGGCATATGGGCTCTATAATGAATTATTAGCATAAGAGGTGGGGCATAATTAAAACCTGTCATTATTAGCATAAGGGGAGGGGCATTTCGGGGGTTGTAAATGCTATTAGCATAAGGGGTGGGGCTTGCCAGCTTTAATATTCCTCATTA